TCCTAGGTAAGATATTTTGTCCCAGGTAAGATTTTTTTTTTGTCCCAAGTAAGAAATTTTGTCCCAGATATAATTTCAGATCATGGACTGCCTGAAACAGAGTCTCAATCAGATACTTGCATTGTTTATTTATTTATTTATTTATTTATTTATTTATTTATTTACAACACAGACTTGTAGATTAAATACCATAGATAGCTTCTGGCAGGATAAAGTGATCAAAATCAATGTTATCTTGTGCTGAACACCTCAGAATCTCTACTTAACAGTAAAGAAAATCAGTGTTTATGTTCCTCAAGTTATTATTTTTTTTAATTGTCTGCAAGAAAGAAAGAAAATACTAGATGCTGGTAACTTTTTTATACTTAGGCTCTATCATTTTTTTTGGTAGAGGATGTACCGTGGCTCCAACAGCTACAGAAGAAAACTTATTTTCTCCACCACACCAGTTGACCATCTCATTGGTGTGATGTTTTGTCAACTGTTTCGTAATCCTTTTTGCCTTATTCCTGCCCTGCCTAAATTGATGGAATCAAATGTAGTTCTATTGCTGCTACAATGAGAAATAACCACATTTCAAAGATTGGATTGCTAATAGCCTCTGAACTTCTCATTTTGAATTCTAAAGTGCTTCCACCCCACAGACTTGTTTGGAGGTTACATCACTTTAAACATCTGTGGTGCAGCATGGCTGGCCTAAAACACTAGACAGAGTGGTAATAATCGAATTGGAAGCAGAGTGTTTTCAGCCTCATCAATAGTAATCAATAAAAAACTCCTTGATCAACATCAGGGTCTGAGTCAAGTCAGAGATAAGCGGGGGACATCTCTGGTGTTTACACAAACCTCAGCTGAGTGTGTCCTTAGTCTCACTCTCACTTATTTACTGTACACAGTTGCTTTTCTGTAATTCTTGTGTAGTCCAAAAATAATAATAATTTTGACAAGAGATTTGACTGAAACGTTTAAGGATTCAAGGATTTTTTTTTATTGTCATACCAGCGCACATTTGCATGTTTGTGCTATGAAATTAGGAATCAGATCCCAGATCAAGAAACCTAACAATTAACAAATAAATAAATACAAAAGAGTA